TTGCCCCCCTCTGGCCCCGCTCCAGCCCCTCAGTGTCTTTCTTGCAGTGAGGGGCCCAGCCCTGCACACAGGGCTCGAGGGGAGGCCTCATCAGGGCTGAGCTCAGGGGCAGAATCACATCCCTGCTCCTGCTGGCCACACTGCTCCTGACACAAGCCAGGATGCCATTGGCCTTCCGGGCCACCTGGGCACACTGCTGGCTCATGTGCAACCGGTTGTCACCCAGCACTCCCAGGTCCCTCTCTGTCCCTCTGAAGGGAACATTCATTCCCTTCCAAACATATTCAGGGTGACAATGAGAAAATCTGTTTGAAGTACTTTTCCATTATTAAAAGTTATAATAATACAGGGAAAGTGAATGCTGCACCCTCCTTTAGCTCTTTTTCCATCTCCGTTTTCACACACGCATGTCTCCTCATAGGAGGCTCTACTGGTGGGATGCACTCACCAGCAAAACACAGCACTGCAAGTGCTAAAACAGCCATCTCCAAACATTGCACCATTTACCAGTCTGGACAACGTCTATCAGGAATTAAGAGATCTCATTTGGGAAAAGGTTCAGCTATTTTGTTTGATGGGCGGAAGCAGCTACCTAATTTAATTTTTTTTCCATGTAATGCCTACAAAGAAACATTAGAGCATCTGACAGTCATCTCTTTGTATTACCTTCAAAATCAATATAAACATGTATTTTTTCAGTAGGTGCAATTACATTAAAGCATTTGTTGAAGTGTAAAGCCTGAGTGCAAGGGATCTGAGGTAAAGGTGCTAGGGCCTTCTTGGTGTAATAACTATATTTTTAACAGGCTGAAACCTTCAACCTTAATATTATTACAACATGTTTTGTATTAAAGTTCTTTTTATCAAGGTCATGTCCCCTGAATTATTTAGTTCTGCTGTTACACTGTAATGAGGTCTCGTTAGGCTTGTATTTCTTTTTTAAGCTCTCTTTTGTGGCAACTTCACCCAGCAAATACAATTATCACAGCATATATCAATAAAAAGACACAAAATGAAAATTAATAGACAACTTTTTCTGCATTTTCCCAGAATGACATGACATCTGTGCCAGCGCGGGACTTTTCTGTTGTTGTCCAGGAGTGTTCCCACTCTAATATTCCAGGTTGTAATTCCAGAAGCATTTTCAAGACTGCCTCACTTGAAAGTTGCCCGCTAGCGCTTCACTGCGGGAGAAGGCAGCAGAGTTTCTGAGGCGCTGACCCAGGGGAAGCTGCACTGCCTGTACCAGGATCTCCTGCTCTCAAGCATAGTCGGGCTTCATATCAGTGCTCAACACCTTCGTCACACGGCAGTGCTTCCCACTCTGTTGTAAAAGTGTATCTTAATCCATCCCTGTACATTGCTATCCAAGTATTAACAAGCTGGCTGTAAAACACAGCTAAACTAACCTTACTAAAGTTCTTAATCTTTTTATGGTTTTACTAATACCATTATATAGGTGTTTCTATCTACAAGCAGTATAACGTATTAATAAAATATGCAAGAATGTCTATACTGACCAGATGAAAAAAGATATAATGACTGCTTAAGAAATATAATTGCTGAGTTCCTAAAATACTAGTTTTATATAAGTTTTCTCATATATATATATAAATGCACACTACACACACACACATATATATATATAAAAGAATGCTAATACAAAACCAGATTATATTTTCATATACATGAAATGTATTTCTTAATACAAAACTAATGTATTCTGGTGTGTTTTTCATCTTTTAAACTTTTAAGTATGTGACACAAGGTAAATAATTGCCTGGAACACATTCAAAACTCCTTCTCTGTTAGTGTGTAAATGAAAAAAAGTCTGTGTTGTCAATGGAATGAACCCCATAGGATTCAGATGGGATCCGGATCAAGCTAAACATTCAAATTTGGTAATTTAGCAAAAAAAATATTTACCTAACAACATTTTTGGTTAACCCCAATTTTTATATCATTTTACTGCACATGATTTCAAACAGTTGTGATATATGCCTTGGGACAGAAAACACGGAAAAGAAATTCAGCCTTTGCTATCCAAGAACACTATATGCATTAGTACATTAAACTATTTCCTCACTTGAAAGATACGACCCGTGGATCAAATCATGGCTAATTTAAAGCTGAGAATTTGATTAAGGGTGACAGTTCAATACACTTTTCTTTTTCTGTTCAACTGATTTAAAGAATAACTCCAGCAAGAGAAAACACATGGGGCCAAAACACATCTAAGGTCAAGTTACATCCAGAGTGAATTTGGCTTAACTTAATGAATCATGCTGACAAATGAAAAACAGCAGTACGATTACAATGAAAAAGCAACACCACTTCAATTATTAATGAGACTCCAGGCAGAAAATTCGCAAGATTATGAAAAGATTAAATGGACATTCAAAAAAAAAAAAAGAGGAGACAAAAAGCAGGTCAACAAAAACATGTCACCTACAGCCGTGATTATTTAGAAGTTTTAAAATACCAATATATTTCCATGTGCTTGTGTGGGTAAACATATTAGATTTTTCCTTTTTTTTAAAAAAAATAAGAATTAAAAAAGTATGGATGTTTTACTAAAACTGGAATGAGGAAGGGTGGTCATCATGCAAAACCCAAATGAGAGCTATTCAGTACGTCGATCATGCAATCTGAAAGTCTTAACCCCCAGGAGAACTGGAGGTAGATGGGAGCAAAACTTCTCACCGAGAACGTGCTCAGTCTCCCAAAGTCAGTAACTTGGTTCGATACTGGTTCAAAATACAGAACCTCTGATAAGACTGGGACACAAAAAACTGCAACTTTTTCCATCAGAACACTGGAAGGGGATGGAGGGGCAGAAAATTTGCCTCTTCAGACACCCCATCTCCTCACTCTTGACACTGAGAGTGAAAAAGATATATTATTGCATTTGCTGTTCTAAGGAAAGAACACTCCAATTCAAAGAAAAATACTGAAAATAAAATGACAGTCTAGAACACTTCAACATGTTCTGATACCTGAAGTTGTTGATTCAGTTATGTCTTTGAGGCTCACCCAACTCCTTACTGACAAGTTGAAAATAAAAAACATATATGTTGCAAAAGAACCAAAAAAAGCCTACTGTTAAGGAGAGTATGACAAGCAAAATGACTATTTTACAGCTCTTCTAACAATTCCTACAGCAATCAGTTTTGTAGCCTTCCTTCAAAATTGTTCTTTGAGAGTCCCACAAATGCCTTGCAGAATTCGCATTTTGATTTAAAAGTTGATGAATAAAGTTAGCTAAGGATGCACCAGGGATCAGTATGGAGTAAAACTTGTTCTTTGTTAGAACTGAATGCTTTTATTTTAGTTAATTTAATAGATGGAAATGCCTTAAAACTCTTCCTAAAGTTCCTACGAAATTAAAACTAGCCCTATTACACAAAACAGGAGACAGAAGAAACCCACAGGGCTCTGCATGCTCTTCCCATTTTCCATCCCTCATGCAATTCTGAGAACATGTTTACATAGAACTTTCCATATCTTTATGACCATTACTTTGTTGCATAACACAGCACTGCTGGAACATTGACTAAAGCTTCGCCAGATGAAGAAAAGGCAGATCATTTTATAGCTATCGCACACAAAATAAGCTAGAGAAAGCTTTGATGCCTGCCTGGAATAACACAAAACCATTTGTAAATAAAATCCTATTAGAAACATCAGATCCTGGGGATTACCCATAATTGCTTTGCAGTTTTATTGAAATATAAGCCAGTACCAACTTCAATCAAAACTCTATTTAAGAATTTCACCTATACTTAGATTTAAAGGCAGGAAATAACACAAAACCTGTCAGGAGAGTAAGAAACTCTCTTTTTTCAATGTTAACATTCTTTGGCAAATGAAACATTAGACTTTTCCCGTAGTAAGTGTCTCTGCCTTCATTCTCTCCTTACCAAACTCTCTCCCTTAAATAAGCTGAAACACAGGAATTAGGTTAAGAAGACGTTCAAAGCATTATCCTACTTTTCTTTCCAACCTCCAAGCTATTTCTGTGACCCATGACCATACATCTCCCTGTATTTTAGTGTATGGATTTGTATGGAACTATTCCAAATACTTTTAAATACTTAAGGTAGAAAGTGATGTGTGAAAAGTGAAATGCTAATTAGGAGCTTCCTTTCCGAAAGAGAGGCACATGTTTCCATTATGTCCGATCTTATACAAGAGTTATGTCCTTTCCATGTAGTTGCAAATTGATACAACACCCCCAGACACCCCAATTTTATCCTTGAGATTTTACATTCTCTTATCTTTCTAAATAGTCCATTTCGCATAGACCATATATATGAATCACGCACATATTTGTGGTACTGGGGAATTTTAAAAACAATGTTCTTGGTCTTTGGCTCCCTCACCTACCTACTGAGAGATTTCTCAGATTTCTAAGAAGGTCCAAATAGCTAATCTGACATTGGCCAATTCAGGGATATGGTCCAAACATGGCAGTAAACTGCACACAGCACAGTGCAAGGCACACCGCAGCATAATTATTTTTTTGGCATGCAAGCAGTGCCTTTACTTCAAAAGGAAAAAGCACTGGAGAAAATAACCATCATCAGTACAGGCACTACCCACATCCTTCATACATACTTAGTTTAAATGTAGAGCAATAAGCAGAAGAATAAAACTTTAAAGAGCTACTTACACTAGCATTTTCTGCATTTAAAAATAAAAATAAGAGAAAAATTCAGCTTAAAAGTCTGGCGGTTCCTACCACAACAGCGTTAGATTTTTACAACCAGCTTGTGTAAGGACTTTCTCATCGGAAAAATTCTCCTCTATCACTCATTCTCCCATAGTCAGTTCACTGATAGCATTGGAGCTATTCCAAATATTCTTTATAACTTTAGGTAAACAAAGGTTTCAGAAGGAGGTTCACAGATAAAATAATATGAAATAAGAAAAAAAAATCATGAAGGCTTCAATAGAGCTAGATAAGGAGTCAAACAGTGTGAAAGATAAAAAGATACTCGTGACTTTCTGAAGACAGCACATCAGATGCCAAATGTCTCAATGGGAACTTTTGCCGAGTACAAATACCTACAGTTAAAGCAAAGACTTTGGCTGACTGTTCTGAAGATTATTTCAAATCAGAATGAGTGGGGCTACTGATTTAATCCCACAGCACCATACAGAAAATGCTTGAACTGTCTTTCTACCATCTGTTTAGAACCAAATATTAGATCTCTATTACTTCTGAAAAATAATCTAACTTAATAGTAAAAACTCAGTGTCTTAGACTCTGATAAATCACCGTTTTTTATTTATAATCTGTACTAATTTAAATGTCATATTCATAATACATTAATATTATTAACTGTTGAATTTTAGTGGCACTTTTTAAAAAATTTTCTTCAAAAACAGAAAAATATGTCGCACATACCTCAAAATTGACAGGTATATTGCGCTTCAAAGCAATTTCAAACACTACACTGATCTCAGACTTGTTTGCATCTTTATCTTCTTCTGATTCTTTTCCTGTTTCTCCATTCTGAAAATGAACAATACATAATCATGTTACAATTTTTAGAAGACAAAAAAATATATATGCTTCTCCCATGATTTGTCAAAGACTTTTGAGTTGCCCTGTCGTGCTGTAAATCAGCATTTGTACATTCATCTCAGCACTCCATTACCAGACACCTGCTGATCACGAACTCATATATTATGCACTTATGCTTCATAATAAAGGAACACAAACACATTAATTTATAAATTAACGACAGATGGCAAAATAATTTCTATGGATTTTAGTCTTATTAATGACATGGATAATAACAATAATCGGAATGCACATTTCTTTTGTCAAATATGATGATCAAACAGATCCTTTGACCTGTTTCTCAGCTTCTCTGTGGGTACCCCTTCTGAGTAGGGAAGAAGTCTTCTGTACTTCAGTGAAATACAGAAGAAATTCACTGAATTACCCCCACTCTTTGACTGGGTCACCAGGTTACAGGTGTCCTCAGCAGGTCCTGCTGGTTAATGGCCCCTCCATCGACTTCCCTCTGAGAGTTATGACCAGTGTGAAAAGGTAGTGACAGAGAACAGCTTGCTCAACACAGAACATTATTTATTTATCCATAGGAACCTAACAAACAGAGAGGCTAAGAGATAAAAGAACAAAAGGCACAGGCAAACATTATCCTGCCTAAAATCGACTTTGCTTTACACTTTAGGTAAGTCTTATTTCTCTCAGATGCCCATCAACAGGGGTATCAGTCACAGAGCTATCACCTTCTGCCACTGCTACCTGTTGGTATTTGTCCCCCAGGCCACATCTTCCTTAATTCGCAGAGATTTCACTTTCAGCTACTTTCACACTGCAAAGCTCTGAATGTTTCAAACTGGGATCTCTCAACAGCCATGTAACCTTGGCCAGGCTCCTAATTTTTTATTAATGGAGGTAAACATCAAAGAAACTTGGGCTGAATTAGGTGGATTCCTGCAGAGTTCCCATCTTACATAACAAAGTCTGATCTAAATCTTCAGTCACCAGCACAGTTACAAAATGCAGATATTGACATTATAAAATAACATTAAAAAAGGTTCCTCACGTTAACAATTAAATTTATCAATCTTCTATCTACCATTTGTTAATACTTAATATATTAACCTTTAAGATAACATATGGCCAAAAATTCAGCAGTCATCTACGGTGTGCAGACCTGGAGCGCTTTTTGTCTCATTAAACGGCTGCAAAATTTTGAATCTGAAAAAGCAATTTACATCCTTCACATTGATCTGGAGCTAAATATTAAACAAAAATTTATAAAGTTTATAAAACCTGCTAAAAAAAAAAGAGTGCAGTGAAAAGCAGTAACAAGGGTAGTTGGAATGAAATTACATAGGAACTCTAGCTCATTTTATATAATGCAATTTAAGGTATCACAAATTAAGAATGTAGGTTATTATTCATAGGACAGGAAAAGCATTGACTAGGTTCACTGTGAAAGATCAACTGAACAAAATGAAAATAAGAGTAAAAATATATTTTTGGGACATAAAAAGCATCAAAATTAAAGAGTGGGGCAATATTATTCTGTAAAAATAGTGAGAATCTTAGTATTATAATCAGTTGTTTGTGTTTTATAAGGTACATTGATAATCTGAAAAGCTGAGAAGAAAAGCCAAAAGGATAAAGAAGTTATTAGAAAAATCAATTTTACACTGAGAAACTATGGAAACAATCAGTTCTATGACAAGATTCAATATTACTAAAGCATAATCTGTGAATGTATATGGGAGAGAGATTTTTGATATCTGTTTGTTACATTTAGCAAAGTTAAGAAATTAGACAGAAAATGAAGCTAAGTGCATTTAGAAGAAATAACTTGCAAATTATCTTTGAAATCGGGACTAATCAATCATTAGCATAATTTACGTAAAAGAATATAAAAGCAACAGGACTGTCATCAAGCCTTTAAGTCAAGACTATTTATTAGGCTTTCTACCTATACTCATAGAATCACAGAACATTTTTGGCTGTAAGAGACTTTCAAGATCGTTGAGTCCAACCTTTTCCCAGTCCTACCAACACTACTAAACCATGTCCCTCAATGCAATCTCTACCCATCTCTTAAACACCTCCAGGGATGGCGACTCAACCACCTCCCTGGGCAGCCTGTTCCAATGGCTGACAACCCTTTCAGTAAAGAAATTCTTCCTAATATCAACCTGAACCTCCCTTGGCACAACTTAAGGCCACTTCCCCTTGTCCTATCATTCGCCATTAGGGAGAACAGATCAACTCCCAACTCTTGCTTAACCAGATATGTAGAATCGAATGTAGAAATTACTATTTAAAATGTCATGATTAATACAAACGCATGAGTCCAGAAAAGCCTTGATTGTCCCTACTGTCCTTACAATTACTCCTTGTTTATTTTCCCATCAAACACAGTAGAGAGCCTAACCAGGAGTAGAGAATAGGGAGGATCATGAATTTTAAGGCTTAGACCTTAGTACTGAGCTGTAAGTTTCAAACCTTAGTCGTATGACTTTCCTAAGGAAGATAAAACATGTTCAGGAGCGTCTCAGGTACTTGAAGTTTAAATTTGATCCTCATTCCACGACTGACACTTTAATTGTAATTGTAAGGCCTTTCTTACGAGACAGCAGAGGTCCTTTGGCAGACACACAATAGCTCTTTTATGAAAGCAGGTTCATGTTCACCTGTAACCCTGCCCTGTTTGCTGAGTGCTTCTTGTTTCTGCTCACCTTATGCTCTTCTACATGTTTGCTCAATGAAGTATTAAGATGGCAATACTCCCCTTCAGTGGTTTAATATGGGAAAAAGATTTTTATCCTTAACTAAGCCTTTTTTTAAGAAAGGATGTCTTAAAATGAAACAAGAATGTATAGGAGGCTGCACTAGGCAACCACAGAAGGTCAAAAGGTAAACTCATGTATGTACTGTGCTATGTGCCACAGATTCCGTTCCAGTGAAATTCACTGAGTTACTAATGGGATGCAGAGTCAGACTGGTACCAGCAGGTCTGTCCTGGCTCCCCTTCTCTGCTCTCCTTGGAAGCACAGTGGCAGTGGCTGGGGAAGAAAGAAGCTTAATCGAGTCATGTAATTGAAGCCAGACAGCCTCCAATGTGTACTGGCTCTGATCCACATATGAGGTAGGAGGAATGGTGACTCAATCGTCTTGTGTGTCTTACCCCGGCAGGTCAGTTCTGCTGAAAGAAGCAGAGTTTTACTGACTTGGACCACGTTCTACAGTAAGGGCACATCCCACCATTGTGTAGCAGCCCTGAGTGCCCTTCACATGACCAGCAGCAGGGAGAAGCCTGAACCTCGGCACCATGAAGCCCTTAAATTCTATTTCAACTAACCTCCAGTTGTCTGGAGAGCTACACTTCACTCCACACGATGCAGCTCTTCACATTCCACCATGACTTGGGCATAGTGTTACCTGCAGACTTCTCCAGTCCAACAGCTTTAGCCCATGACAGAGATGTTTCTTCATGACAAGCCCACAAAAAGAGCTCCCTTTACCCTCAGCATAACCAAGCCATGGAGGTTTTCCTGACTGAGGACTTGATTTAGTCTCATACCTACACCTGCTATTGAGATTCTATAGTATCCCAAGTGGTCTTCAACCCCTGCACACAGGAGGGAGGTACTCACAGTACTCCCACGGGTCTTGCAAGTACTGTGTGAATGTGTCACCTAATCTACAGTATCATCTCCTGAGGAATCTTCCCTATTTTTCTCATAGCTAATGGTGAATTTGAAATATTTTACAGAGATAACTCATGGTGGTGAAGAGAAGAACGACATTACTTCATTAGTCATGAGACAGGCAACACTAAAGCATGTGAAAGAATTTCAGAAACTGAATTTGCCATGACTAAATCTTCTAAAACCCTGCACATCCTAACAGACACTGGTGTAAATAGACATTAAATAGACCCAATCAGGCAAAAACGTTAATTAAAGATTTTGGACTATGAAAACCCAGTATATAAACCAGGTACATATCGATGTTACTTACCCACACACATATATATATATATACACGTCCCATTAATTTCTGTCTATTATTTATTATCCTATGCATTTAATGGTTTAATTTCCATTCTGATTAATAGATACCTTGAATTCAAAGATTCTTTTGATAAAATACATTATTAAACATACAATTTTCAAAAATTCTGAGCTAAAAATATGTTTCAGTAGTATGAGACTCCCACTCAGATTTTTGCTAAGGATTCTCTGTCAAGCAATACGTTTGACTGGAAACCAAAAGAGAAAGGAAGGAAATTAACAATAAGAAAGGAAACATGGATTCTTCCTAAGAGTTTACATACTCTTTTTTAATAGTTTTACTGTTTTTTTTTTAAAAAATCAATGTTATAGTAATTATTTCCTGATCAAGAAAAATAATATAGCAAAACAAAAGGGTATTCAAATTCTCTTTGGATGAAAAGGAGGACGTAGATGCAGGGTGAGGCAGAAAGAACAAAGATTTTAATACAGAAAATTGTTTACATTCTTAAAAAGCAGCTCAAAACTACCACACAAGACACTGAAGGTACTATTAGTACTGTTTTGTACTGTGCACAGGAATTCAACATGCATAATCAGAAAGTGTGCAAAATAAAACTTCTGTCTCATCATGGACTCATTTTGGTTTATTTGGCTGGGCAATTTTATTATATTTGTCCTTTCCTTTGCAAAGATTATTCTGAGAATAATTTTTCTGTTAAATATTTTTTAAAACACAACAAAATGTTTTCATTTTTAAGGAGCGATATATGCCACTTACAAACACAGCAGTGTGCAAGCTAGCTATTTAAAAAGGCATCAAATGACTAAAAGCCTAAACCATCAGACAGGTGGTGAATAGCTGTCAGCAAGCTCCATCAGGTTCTTATGCACACTGGGGACAAGTCATTTCAACTGCAAAAATCATATTCATGGCACAACACATATTTAAGATTACCAATTCATTCTCCATGAAGCCACTGATTAAATGGACTTTTTCTCCATTTTTTGTATAACCTCAAATATTTTATTCTGATTTTATTTTTTACTTAATCACCATTGACAATCCCATCTTTAAGTTGCCTACTTACTTTTGTTATTTAAGTCTAGTTCCATACTAACAATTCGTTACCATTATTTCTCTATTTACTGAGGCTAATTTGAGAAAAAAACACTACAAATTAAACACTGAAAAACTAGCAACTAAATTGTTCGATCTGGTATCTTAAAGTGAAGATTAGGAATGGTTTTCGGAAACAAACCTGAGGTAATTTTTCTGGAATAGGCTCATTCTGGAGAGCTTGAAGGGCCTTCATTGCAGCATTATGTCTCGCAGCTTGACGAGTCTTTCCTTCACCAAAAAACTCACTGTTGCCAACAGTCAACTGGACATAGAAAATTTTAGGCACTGGGCAGTGATACCTGGAAAGAAGTCAGAAGAAGAAAACAACAATACAAGTTACTAATTCTAATAATCCATTTTATGTGCTATAGAGTAATAGGGATATAACATTATCTTTTCTCACAGAGTAAAACTCAACACCTGAACACATGGACCACTCCTCAGTAAAACCATCAGGAACCCTGACAGCAGCTCCTGTGTGCAAACCAGCTCCTCACCCACATTTGCAGGGCTCTGCAACGAGCTCTACTATACTGCAGCCCAACAGCCCAGCTCTGTTCTCTTCTTGGTTTGAGCCTTGCGAAGATTAAGCCTAAGGAGAACCGAAAGCTCCAGTGGAAGCCATGCCTGGGAGACAACTCCTGTGCCATAGAAAAGTGGCACGGAGGCAGAAAGAATACAAGGTCTCTCATCCGAAACCTGTCAGCATTGCTCAGCTCTTGGGGACAACAAGTCAGGTGGCAGAGGGTTAGGGACCTGGACAATGTACTTCTAGCCTCTTTTTAAATTTCAAGTACTGGAATTGCTGTGGAGGATATGAAGGAGTTATCTTCCAAAAGAGTAACAGAGCATAGGGAGAAGCTCTCCAACACTGTAATAGCCAAACATTTGCCAGATACTAAAGTAAAAGCAGCAATCACCACCATATTGTTTTCCCTTTTTCTCCTCCCTACAGAAGAAAAATTCCAAATACAATGGCAGGCTTTGTTTTTCTGAGTATGTCTGAGAGGCATCAAAAGAAAGTTAAAGCAAAAAACCAAAACGTCTTCCTATAAACTGGCACAGCTATTATTCCTCAAAGAAAGCAACGTCTTTATTCGTATCATCAACTCCACATCTCTATTTTCAGTACCTGAAATAGCTACCCAGCCCATACTCCTTACCCTGAAACCTGTCTCTCACTAGCTGCAAATGAAGAAAGAGACGCAATTCCATTCTTAGGTTTGCAAGTTCCTGTCACAGCACTGTGAAAACTACAAACATAAATAAGAGCTCGTCCACATAAGCAACTTCTACAGAAAAGAGGTATTCCATCACCACCATCCTCAGAGTCAGAAAAAGCAAAACCCACAACAAAGTACTATATTATCCTTCTTCTCCTAAAGGATCTTTATTAAAGTAAGCTCTCTCCATTTTCATCTGTTGACACTTATGGTGATTTTTTTGTATGAAGACTTTCTGACATTTCATTTCATTAATAACTGTAGCTGATTTGTTTCAACTAGCAAGAAAAGAGAAGTTTTTCAGAAAGCAGCACACTTCAAACCCAGACAAGTTTGAATAAGCACTCCAGTCTCGGTGTCCCTGAACTTTGTGCCTAATTCTAAAAATACACTTATATGGAAAGAGCAAAACCATAACAGTGGCTCCAGCAAGCCTCTGGCTATAGGGCCTTGGAGGGCTGAGCTAAGTTGCCTTTGCAACATGCAAAAAGTGGGTATTGCTTTTTATAATTTAACACAGTTATAGGGAATTATTAAGGCCTGGAAATGCATTTGCTTATGTAACATTTTCATTAAATTATAGAATAACTGAGGCTGGAAAGGGTCCTGGAGGTTATCTGGTCCCACACAGCACCAAAACAGGGTCAGGCTCTGAAGTTACAGTGTCTTGTTCAAGCATTGTCCAGGGTATTGAGGGTATCTCCACGGATGAAGATTCCACAACATCTCTGGGCAACCCGTTCCAGTGTCTGAACACTCCTGCGGGAAGAACACTACAAAGGTCCTACATGCATAATAAAATTCAAACACCATGGTGCCATTCAGTAACAAAGCAGCTGTCAAACCAAAGAAACAGACAGTTCAAGAATGTTGTTTTCTATCCCACTCCACTGTGTCCTTGATTGCTTCTGACACTCAGCATTCACTTTCTGCCTCCCTCTGTTCTAAAAGTTACAAACACAATACCAAGACACTAGGAATGTGACAAAGTTTACAATAAAAAAGTACAGTAGCTACAGACTGAAATTTACCTCAAAAACAAGGAGGTTTTTCTAGTGAAAGGCAGAATTTCACTTTTCCCGTCACTTAAATGAGTTTACATAAAATGCTTCCTGTATCAGTATTTTCTTCTGATTTAGTAGTTTCACTCGATTTGCAATATTGTTTTAGGGAATATTAATTAAAAAATTTAGGGAATATGCAGATGATAGATGTAAATAATACCTTGAAATAGAATCACAGAATGTCAGAGGTTGGAAGAGACCTCTAGAGATCATCTAGTTCAGCCCCCCTGCCAGAGAAGGATCACCTACAGTAGGTCACACAGGAACGCGTCCAGGCGGGTTTTGAATGTCTCCAGAGAAGGAGACTCCACAACCTCTCTGGGCAGCCTGTGCCAGTGCTCTGTCACCCTCACAGTGAAAAAGTATTTAAATCTAAGAACTAGCAGCAGGTCTTTGACATGAAACATAGGCTAAACTGTATTTCCAAAGTGAAAAATATTAACACTTACTTAAAATCAAGGGGAAAAATAATAAAAAGCTTCATCAGTATAGTCATCAACTACACTTCTTCCACAGCTGGCTTCCACAGCTGTCTGTCCCTGGCTCCTCTGCACAGCTAATGCGATTCTTCTGAAAGTCTTTTCTTCGTTTATCACAGAAACAAAGAATAGTTGAGGTGGGAAGTGACTTCTGGAGATCTTTTAGTCCAATCTCACTGCTCAAAGCAGGTCAGTTAAGAGACTCGGGACCACTTCCTCTTGGGTTTTGAGAAGCTCCAACAACTTGTCTGGCAACCCATGTAAAAAAGTTTTTCTCTTATGATTAAATGGAATTTCTTGTATTTCAATTTGTGCCTCATTTTCAGTGGATATCACTAAAAAGAGCCTGACACTACCTTCTCTGCAAATCCCCTTCATATATTTTATACATATTGTTAAGAACCCCTTGAACTTTCTCTTCTCCTGGCTACGCTGTTCCAGCTCTCATTCTCTCCTGAGATGAGAGATGCTCCAGTCCCTTCATCACCCTAGTAGCTCATGCTGGAGAACACAAAACTTGACCCAGCACTCCAGATGTACCCTCACCAGGGCTGAGGGTAAGGATGACCTCCCTCAGCTTTTGACAACACTCTTCTAAATGTAGCCCAGGATCCTGTTGGCCACTTTTATTGCAAGGGAACATTACCAGCTAATGTTTAACTTGGTGTACACCAGGACCCCCAAGTCCTTTTCTGCAAAGCTGCTTTCCACCCAGTCAGCCTCCACTTTGTAGTGATGTGTGGAGTTACTCCTGTCCAGGTGCAGTGATTTGCCTTTCCCTTTACTGAACTTCACAAAGTTACTGTCTGCCCACTTCTCCTGCCTGTCAAGGTCCCTCCAGATGGCAGACGAACCCTCTGGTACATCAGCCACTCCTCCCAGGTTTGTATCATCTGCAGACTTGCTGATGGTACATTCTAGACACATCGTCCAGATGATTAATGACAGTATCAAATAGGACTAGCCCCAGTATTGATCACTGGTGTACATCACCTGTGACTGACATCCAGCTATACTTTGTGCCACTGATTACAACTCCTTGAGCCTCGTAGTTCAGTCAGTTTTCAAACTGCCTCATTGTTCATTTATCTAGGCCATACTTCATGAGTCTGTCAATGAGGATGTTAGAAAAGACAGTGCCAGAAGCCTCAATAAAGTCAAGACAAACAACATCCACTCTCCTCCTTGCTGACTACTTACAGTCAGCTGTCATTCTTAACATGATCAGAGATGTTTTTCAAGATTAATTCCCCCACCATCTTCTCAGAGATTGAAGTGAGGCTATTATTTCCCCAGATCCCTCTTCCAGGCCGTCATGAAAATAGGAGTGAAATTTGCTTTCTTCCTCAAAAACTTCCCGAATCACAGAAGTCTTTCAAAGCTAATAAGGGCTGGCATCACTTTGACATCATTCAGCTCCCTCAGCACTCACAGGTGCATCCCATCAGGCCTCATGGGCCTGTCCTGTCTGTTTAATTGTTCCCCAATGTGATCCTCTTCCATGGAGAGTATCTCTTACTTTCTCCAGTTTTGCCTGCTGATGTCAGGGACCTGAGACCACTGAAGGCCAGGCTTATCAGTAAAGACTGAGATGAAAGCATTTTTGAGTACCCCCATCTTTTCCATGGGTCCCCGTCCCCGCTCAATCATGGGTCCTTAGTCTTTCTTTTGCTGCTATAGAAGCCCATCTTGTTGCCCTTCATATACCTTTCATTTACATTCCTAGATTCAGCTCCAGATGTACTTTAATTTTCCTAACTCCATACCTGCACAGTTGTACAGTGTCTCTACATTCATCCTGGGTCACAAGCCTGTCTGAGTTTAGTCTGAAGTTCCTTGTGCACCCATGCAGTTTTCCTGCTGCCTTTCTTTGACTACATGCATGTTGGGACGGAAGGTTAAACCACTATTGAGCTTGGAGGAGGTGAACTTTGCGAAGCTTTCCTGGGCTCCTCCTCTCATCAGGACTGCACCCTCTGAGGTTCTTCCAAGCAGGTCTCTGAATAGACCCAGGTCCGCTATCCTGAAGTCCAGTTGGTTATCCGTGATATTTGCCTTGTTCTCTCAAGTTCCTGCCACTAGCTCGTGATCACTACACTGATTTCAACCTCCACATCTATGACCAGTTCTTCTTTGAAAACATGAGCTCCAGCAGGAGTGTCCATCCTCACTGATCCCTGGGAACCACCACATCTGTTGGCTGCCTCTGTTAGCTGCAACTTAGCACAGGATAAGCTATGTCACACAAAAGCAGTAGGCACCTTGAGAGCACACCCCACCTCAAAACTTCACAATCCTCTTTCAGTAATAAAGAATGTGGCAGTGCTGTTAGCAATTACCTAGATTTGGGGCAAATACAATACCCATCAGAAGTTCATGGCTCTTGCTGAGTTACTAGACCTACCTTTCCATTTACATGCAAAGGACGAAAACACATGAACCTTAATCCACTTTATAAACTCAGATCCCACAACAGGCTCTCTCTTTTTCCCTCCTCCTCTCCTCATCTTTTCTTTTAAAGAGTGTTTAGGGA